ATTCATGCACAGCTTTTATTAGCCATCCTCTAACTCTTCATCAGTAGTCAGTTTCTAACCACAGCTGTTCTTGATTGGATATTTTTGGGTGGTGAACCAATCCATTTCAAATAAAGTGGGCAGTGTTTGGAAGAACCAGGTAGTTGTTTATAATAAAGTGTATGGTGAGCGTATAGCACATCCATAAACCATCCAACAATTTAACATGCGTTAAAAGTCGTACCTGATTTTCTCAGTGGGTATTTTGAGTTGTAGTAGTTCTGAAAGAAATCAAGGATGCGGCCAGTGATGTTCAGGGCATATTCCCCCTGTCCAGCTTCAATGGCTTTTCTACGGGCCCAGATCCGAATCTAAAATAAAGAACCATATTACAGTTATTTGAAACAATACATGAAAAAATAAATTATTTATGAACATGAAAATGAATTAATTATGAACATAAACCTAGCCTGAAGCACAGGTTCCCACAGAGAAATGGTTTAAACGTTCTTACCAGAACCTTGGCCTCTGCTGGGGTCTTGATGGAAATAAAGTCACTGACGACAAAAGCTAACAGATACGTTGACATCTTTTCAGTTGGTTCAAACTTGGTCTGTAAAACCTGTTGATTGTTCAGGGTGATCATTTCTGTGCCTAAAAATTCAAAACGAGCAGGAGATACAATATTCACTGAAGCATCTTGATACAACAAAATGTAATGTATTGAACCTTTAACCTTTATAAATCTAGACACTAGGGGCTAAAACAACACTTGCAGATGTTGCGGCCAAAACATAATATTTCCTTGCGTTACTGATTGTTTGGCAACACCAACTGGACATCAGAATTGTAAGAAATGTCCAGTTACCAGTTTCCATGCCATTAGCTAGAGCCACAGTGTCGAGTGGATGAATGAGAGTCATGTGGAAAACGGCCTTCATCGCCGGCTCATCAAAGCATGGGAAGGCTTTCCTAGCATCAGTGGGCTCCATCTGAGTTGTGGCAACAACTCTGAAAAAAATGATATCAATAGATGATCAGTCAGAGGCATTCTAACAATAGAATCATAGTACGGCTTGGATATTGTAATATAACAGACATAGCACTGTAAATCCCCATACCTTCAGCTACAGTTCAAAAGATACATTGAAGATACATGATTCAAATGTGTTCACTTGAAATATATAAGGTAGAGCAGGGCTCAAACTAACAAAAGATAAAATGTAACATGGGTATTGTATTTAGTTAAAAAGGCGTAAGTGAAATGGATTTTGGTCACCCTTCTCGTATTCTCCCATAGCAACCTTGTTTGCAAATTTTTACAGGAATCAGGTAGATATTGCCTAAAATTCATTGTGAAGACTGTTTTGTACCATGAAAGTAATCTTGCATCTTTAATTTCTAATTATTATGTATGCGTCAATCACAGAATTCATGCCCAAGTTATTTTAATCACTCTCAATGGCATTCATGTTTTGTCTGTTTTCAAGCGTGTAAATGACTCACAGCGAGAGTTGGTCAAGCTAAAGTTCAGCCTCCACATGGTGGAGTTAGTTACAACTAAGACTCCCAAAGTAAAGTGATGGTTGGGACACTTTGGGTCAGTTTCTGACAGAGCCGAAACTAGACATTCGTAGTTCAGGCTGGGCCTGGACAGAAAATTCTTGGCCTGCATTCGGGTTTTCACCAAACTTTCAGGCCCAATTAAATGTCTGTTGTCATTAGACTGACCTTTCAAACAACTTGTAACACTATGGCACATTTTAACAGTAAAAACCATGACACGGCTTACTTCTTCACTCCATCCTCAACATATTCACTTCTGTAAAATCCGTGAAGGTCGTCAGCCAGCTCTCCACGGAATTCCGTGTAGAGCCAGTAGGTGCTTCCAACCTGCAGCTTTTCACTGAGCTGAACCACCAAATACTGGGTTTCCACTTCAAGCCATGTTTTCTTAATGGCTGGAGCTTTAGCCCCATTCAGCCCACTCAGCATTGCGTGGTATCCATCCCGTGTCAAAGTATAGTTCAGTTTGTTGGAATGAATGAGGATCAGACCTGTTTCATTCACACATGTGAAGGCAGCTCCTGAATGTCCAGTGAAAATATACATGCCTTTGGCGTCCATTACAAGTCGAGGCCAGAGAGTCACATTGTAATACAGTGGAGCCAGAGAAGTCGGTAACCTGTAGTTTTTCCACACTTCAGTCTCATTTACAGGTTTCACTTCATTTCTGGACTTCTGAGCGTAGACCACTGACAGGGCGATAATAGTGACCGCTGCAGCAGCTACAATCACAACAATTCCAACAGGCCTGCTAACGTAGAAGCCTTTCCCCATGTCTGCAGGTTAAAGTGAAATCTAAGAACAATTTCTTTCTTATACAGTCTCTCAAGGCACGGAAGCAGCGCAAGTTTATGAGTGGCCAAATGTGTCATTGAAGGAGGAGCATTTACAGTCATAAAGTGTGACATATATAAAAAAATCTGCTGACAGTTCCAAACCACTTTGACCACTTCCCTACTATGGAAAAGGAAATAACTCCAGTGTGAGTGGCATTAAAGCACCCATATGCTACATGTTATTATAATATCATGTTTATATATATATATATACACATACATACATGCACTGGTTAATAAAATACCATCAGCAAATCGTTTGGTGCTCTACTGTAGGCCATAAAGGTCAGTAAAGAGTAAGTAGTAGTAAGCTTTGCACAGACAGTACCTCACTGCACTTTTAACCACAGAAGCACCTGGAGCAGCTTTGTAAAGCTGATGTGGGTCACAGTGTCATGTGTTGCTGCATCTCCAGACTGCAGTTGAACTGCACACATGCCACATCATAAGCAAGTGCTGTGGTAGTGCTCTGTAGCAGTGCCTCTCAAACTTAAGTATACAGATTGTTTTTAAAGTGTATTTATGCTCAAATGTGGTTGTGTATTACTGATATTTTAATATAAATTAGTTGTTTTGGACAAATGCCACCATTTTAAAACTGTTTTTCCAAATTAAACAGTCTACCTAGATATCAGTGTCGTCTGAATGAAAAACCTAAGCTTACAAGCTTGTCTTCTGGTCGCACATTTGCACAAATCTGGCAAAAGATTGCATCTGCAACCAACTGAAGATAATATGTTTTCCTTAGTCTAACTAAGTCTAACTTCCACTTTGTTTATTTTTTATTTATCTTTTTTATTACCTGTATGATATACCAGAAACATTTCTAGCACCGCATGTACAATTTCAGCCATAAAAAAAACTAACTCCCTCAATGTTCCAGTAATGTATGAAAAAAAACTAACACTTAGCATATTACACCAGTTTTGACCAGCAAGGGGAAGCATTTGTTCCCTTACCCTTTGTGTACCGGGTGAAAAAAGTCACTGATGCTAAAGAACATACTCAGGATTGTACAGTTTTTTTTCATCTTACCTTTCTGTATGATTCACTTTTTTCTGTTGTCACATAGATACACTGCAAGAAATGTTTTGTTGTTCATCTGAGAAAAGTAACCTAATTGAAAATCAAATAGCAAGCCAACCTTTCTCAGGAAATATTTTTCCATACCTCCTTCTGCTTCTCACAAATCAAGTAATCCCAAACACATTCCCAGGCTTATTAGGAGTGTTGCTGATAATTTGGTACAAGGTAATACATTAAAGTAATGTGATTACTTTGACCTTTGCTGTAATAAAGCAGTGTAATGCCTTACAGTTACTGATTTAACAAGAAAGAGGTAAATATGTTTGTACCAGACTTTTTGTAAACTTAAATATATTTGTAAACAAATGCAACAAAGCTAGCACACAACTGAATTAAACCAATGACACATTTCACAGTTAAATGTACTGGCTTGCATGATAATGAAAACGTGTTAAGTAATTCTGGCCAAGGGTCCTTGGGAAGTGGAATAGGGATGGTGTGAGATTGGGCTTCACACCAGAAACCCGAGCTGCTGCTCTAAGATGTCTTCATTTTATTAATTTTACTGTAACCCTACAGAATTAAATGCTATATTTCTCTAGAATGTTTATCCAAGTAGATTTAGTCCCAATTTCTATATTTTATAAATGTTTACGTATCAACATTTGCAGATATGTATATGGAAAATTTTGCGTATCAACATCAGTCCACAATTCAAATCAGTACATACTTAGGAGATCCTCTTGCACCCCCCGCCCCCACCCCAAATCGAGGCGTCAGAAACCACATAAGCAAGTATATTTAGTATAAAGACGTAGTATTTAGGATACAGACGTGTCTTTGTTGGTAAAGCTGACAAAAGTACAAAGCATTGCTAATATCCGCTTAGAGCCCTGTTACAATGAAAACGTCCTCAATGCATCATGAATCACAGATGACTCGTCTGAAAAGGGAACTGTAGTAAGTGACATCATTAGCTGGCCAGATGTGTTCATTCAAAAAGAGGAATATACATTTTCTTGCAGATATCAGAAGATCAAACTGCATCAATTTCATTCAATTTTTTTCCAGTCCTCTGAAGTGCAAAAGGTGTTGGAGAATCCAGTATTCACCAAAGAGATCCAATGCCTTTCCAACCTGTTGCAGCACATGGTGAAAACGATGGTACTTCTTGTATGTGGGTGTCACCAAAAACAAACTGTACAATATGGTCTAAAAGCGTCAAAGATGTCATATAGATGCAGTTTACCAAGCTGCCAGAGCGATTTTCACTGTTACTTTCGGTACACCGGAAAAAGAGCTGCTCTGAATTGACTTGATTCAAATACGTATTAATAATAATTGTGTTGATGTAATATACTGTCAGCAGCACTGCTGTGTCTGATCCACTCATACCAGCACAACACACACTAACACACCACCACCACGCCAGTGTTACTGCAGTGCTGAGAATGATCCACCACCCAAATAGTACCTGCTCTGTGAGGGTCAATGGGGGTCCTGACCACTGAAGAACAGGGTAAAAGGGGGCTAACAAAGTATGCAGAGAAACAGATGGACTACAGTCTGTAATTGTAGAACTACAAAGTTCACCTATATAGTAAGTGGTGCTGATAAAATGGACAATGAGCGTAGAAACCAGGAGGTAGTCATGATGTTATGCCTGATCGGTGTATAATAATATAAAGTCAGTAATATAATACAACATAAAGTCAGGGACCACCCTTGAGCTGGTGTAGCTTCAAATTTGCTGTATTTAATTTCCAGTAAAAAGGCTATTAAGTACAAGTTAATCAGGAAGTGTCAGGTGAAAGGAAGGAACAGAAAAATATTTAACAGAAAATTACACAGAAGCCTTAACAAGTAATATAATATCAACATTTTCAGTATTTAGTGTGTCCTTTCCCTTTATTACAGCTTCTGTTCTTTTCAGGAGACTTGCTGTCAGTTTTCCAAAGAAAGGGATATTTTCCACACCTCCAAAGTTCAGTTATAGTGTTCAGTCCTAAGTGTGATTTATCCGAATGACAAATTCATTTGAGTATGCGTATAACTGGCGGTATCTTGCACATCAAACCTGATTTTTCGAAGGGCGAAAATACAACATTATTTTATTCACCCTCTGTTTGATTTATGCTAATTTTCACTGTGAACATGAACTCTCTGACCAATTACCATTGTTTCTGGCAGTGCCATGGCAACAGTTAATATGACAAAAGTGTCACAGTAACTATAACTTTTTGCCCTTGTGTATTTGCCCTTGAAGACATTCTGTCTCTTTGTTTCGTGGTCATCACGGCTGGAGCTGCTTCTCCATAAACAGCTCAAACTGAGTGACAGAAATCCGAGCAGTTCCTGAATGAGGTGGTGAAACTCTCATTTCTCCTTTCGTGTGGAAAGCATCCTGTACAATGCCACCCATTGGCTGTTTTGTAAGAAGCGAAAAATCTTTACGTAGATATTCTGCATGGTGTGTTCAGTTTTGATGCGAACTGTTGTGTCTAAATATTTCTCATTTTTGGTCTTAGAAGTTGCATTTTCCATTTCTCACGATCCAGATCATTTCCAAACACATTCAGTACACTGCAAAAAATCGTATCTTGTCAAGTAAAATTATCTTAAATCTAGTCAACATGTCCAATATTTCTCCTGTTAAGATTGTGGTAAGCATATTTTATGATTATTCAACTTATTTCCAAACATTTTTAACCTGTTTTAAGTAATTTTGTTAAGTAAAATTATCTCACTATATTAGTAGATAATTTTGCTTGTTTTAAGAAATGTGCTTGAAACAAGCTAAATGGACATTTAGACTGGAAATTATTGGTAAGAGTGGTCTCTTTTTGCACAGTACTGTAGCTATTTTATTCATGTAAAAACAATGGACGCATTGAATCAAGTGAATTCAATGCATTATTTTTTTTCCGGTGTAGCTTCAGATGTGCTGTACTATTCATGCTGACTGTGAGATGAACCACTGCAGAACCTGCTGCTTATTGTCCTCCAGCCATTTCATTTTGGCCGTCGTCTTCTCAATAGCCTGCTTCAGAGCCTGCGTCCCAGAGCCAAACCCAACATCAGCGTTGTCCTTTTGGAACTGTTTTAACTGTACGACACAGCAAGTTGGATGTTACTATACTGAAATTCAGTTCAAACACAATTAGCAATATTTAGCATGATTAAACACAACAACCAGAACCATGTATGGAGCAATGGCTACAGGACTCCTCTACAGACTTATTATTACAACAAGGAAAAAACCCTGAAAAATCTAAATTGATTATCTCTCAGTCCTCAGTTGTTCATTTTCTATAGTAGTATCAATGCTAATATATAATCTGAATGACTATGTTTATACTATAGTTTTTAGACTAGGGGTGGGAATCTCTAGGCACCTCACGATTCGATTCGATTATGATTCAGAGGGAGGCGATGCGATTATAAAATGATTATCGATGCATCTCGATGCGTCTCTTTTTTCTATATAGCATTTATATTTTCTCACTGTGAGCTCAAGTTTCGAGTTCAAGTTTCAAGTTTATTTGTCATTTGCACAACATGTCAGGACATTTATGCACTGAAATGCTTGTGTGAGGCTCAGCTAATCACTCTACAGAAAGTAAATAAGTAAAAATAAAAATACAAGAAAAACCAACTGAAATATATTAAACATACACAAAATATACACAGAATACAGAGACAATAAACAGTTTAAAGTGACTAAGTGACTCAGTGTTGTTATTTAAAGTGACCTGGTACTTTTAAAGCAAAGTATTTGTAATGATCCATAATGAATTTACTTCCAATATCTTTTTTAATAAAACAAATGGAAGTGATGAGGCAAGTAAACTAGAAGGCTCTCATTCAGTGCTCTTGCTTGGAGCACGAGAAGCTGCTGCTACTCATCTGAGATAAAATGCGCAGTTACGGTGAAATAAGATCCTGTGGCAGTGGATGACCATGCAGCACGTTACAGCTATTCTACCCGTTTTCTTTAGTGATTGAATAACTTGGGTTTTGGTCTCGTTGTAGAGACGGGGGGGATCGCTGTGTCATGTGCAGCATAGCGCGAAAGCCCTGTTTTGCAACAACTGAGAACCGGCGTGCAGACTGCAGGTCACATAGCAGCGATGCGTTATTCGCATTTATAAGCACGGCAGTTGGTTTCCTGGTACGTTAAATCTGCAACTTGAGACTGTCACACACTAAAAAGTGGCGAAGCTGAAGTCAGCTTCTCTTTCGAATTCTCCCGTTCCACCTTAAATGGTGCCGCATTTACATTCGGCGCCTCAGTTAGAATTTAAGGTGGAACGGGTAAATTCGAACAAGAAGCTGGAGAATAAGAAGCGACTTCAGCCTCGTAAAACAGTTGAACGTTGAGAGACATTTAACTGATCTACTTCTGAGGAAAAGTTTTCTGGCGGAAATGGGAGGAAAGTGGCTGTAGCTGAGCTAAAGCTTAAAGCAGAGCAAAGTAAATCTGCGTTTTTGTTTATATTGTTTAGCCTATAGTAGGACATTATCACATACTGACACATACTGGACATTAAATGTTGCGGCTCCCAAGGTGGTTTGATTTTTGTTGAAAGGACAAAATGGCTCTTCTTATCATTTGTGTTGTGACTCCTGACCTAACCTGGCTTTTAACGCAGAGGGAACCGGTCGGATTTCTCACTTATCCAGTAGTGTTTTTGTCATGTGCCGCCACAGACTGTCCGGGCGCTGCACTTCCGCACTTCCAAGTTCCGCCCTTTGTGTTCCGTCAACTTTACGTTATAAATTAAATATTTAGAAAATCGATTTTTGACATTTGTGAATCGATTCAGAATCGTTCACGTCCGCATTGCGATGCATCTAAGAATCAATTTTTTTCCCGTACCCCTATTTTAGACTATATTTATGTCTCTACAATCACAATCAGGACCAGGCTGCACAAGCAGAGATTTGGAAATGGATATGTGAACAGATTTACATACACAAAATCATTATTTATTGTATTATTTAATTTTTATTAGTGCTAATATTTGTGTTTTTCTGAGCAAATAAATGCTTACTGCCCAAATAGAATGCTTTTTAAATCAGATGTACCTCACTGAGTTCAAAAGAGGTGCAGAATCTGGCCGTAATGTCGTTTATTAAGTTGGAGAATGAAAATGATCCAGTTCCATACCTGGGAACAGACAATTGCAACTTTACTGAATGATACATAAATAATGCTCTCAAACTCAGTATAGACAGTTTGCTTTTGCTTTTTTTTTTCTTATAGCATTTATCACTCTTACGTTTTGAACAGGTATTCCCATCTTGCTCTGACAAAGTTCCATGCTAGAGGTTGGCCAACGATGTTGCTGGCAATAGATCCTATCGTGGAAGTTGCATCTTGCTTGCGAATCTTTTCAGGATCCAAAGTGTAGTCAAGGTACCTTTATTTTGAAAAAGAAGGAAAAAGACAGGAGGACATGCAAAATATGCTTTTTAATATATATTTAATTATAGTTATTCATCTGTCCATGTGACTTGATTGTGAACACCGTTATTACTTTACATCATTTGCTGGTATTACTAATGCACTTTTCCCCTACACTTTTAAGTTAATAACTTAAAGTATACTTATAACATTTGTGCTTTTATAAACCAAAAACAGCCATCATTTATTTTTACATGACCATTACATCTATCTATCAATATCAGTTATAAACAGGCTGTTGATTTTTTGATTCTGTGCCCTTAAAATGTATGTGTGTATATATATATATATATATATATATATATATATATATATATATATATATATATATGTTGAATTGTACTAAACAAACTGTTGAATTCAAACTGAAATTATCAAAAAGAAATCCTCAGCAAAAAGAAACTTAAGCCACTTCTTGCAAATGTCTGGATCCTTTGGATGGCTACGATCCATTTTGTTGCTGTCAAAACAAACTTGTATCTTATATCTCTATTTTTGAGTTTTGTTTTGTTTTTTTTTGGGGAAAATGCCAGTTGGTCTTTGCAGTGTGTTAAAATTTTATGATGAATGAAGCAATAGAAAATGTCCAACATTACTTGGAAAAAATATTGTTCCATTAACAGCTGCTTAAAGTTAAGAACTTTTTTTCTTCTCCTGTAAGGTTGTTTTGTCGCACCAGTGATCATTTGCTTCATGACAGCCAGAAACAGCACAACCTTTATTTTTTTTCTCTTTGTGTTCCACTCCAATAACTCTGCTACAGACTGTAATTCAGTAAGACTCCTTATCACTTCAGAGTGGATTGGTGGGGCTAAACAGCTGTGGGCTGAATTAGAGGTTATATGTAAAAGTGTTTATGGTTGTGACCACTGGTCTTTGCATACACTATATGGCCAGAGTATGTGGACATCTGACCATCACAATTGTATATATCACACTTTTATGATCCCATTTCAAAACCATGGGTCAAATGAAAATTTGCCCCTCCTTTGCACCTATAACAACCTCCACTCTTATGGGAAGTCTTACCACAAGATTTTGGAGTGTGGGAATTTGTGCCTATTCAGTCAAAAGAACATATGTGAGGTCAGGCACTGATGTTGGTAAGGAAGACCTAGGTCACAGTCAACATTCCACTTCATCCCAAAGGTGTTCAGTGGGGTTTAGGTTGGGGCTCTGTGCAGGCCACTGGAATTCTTCCATGCTAAACGTGACAAACTACGTCTTTATGGGGCTTGCTTTGTGCACAGGGGCTCAGTCATGCTGGAACAGAAAAGGGCCTTCCCCAAACTGTTCCCACAAGTTGGAAGCATATAATTGCCTAATATTTCTTTGTGTGCTGTAGCTTTAACATTACCCTATTACTAGAACCAAGTGGCCGAGCCCAAACCCTGGAAAACAATCCCAGACCTTTATCCCTCCTTCACCAAACTTTACTGTTGGAACTATGCATTCTGGTAGGTAGCGTTCTCCTGGCATCTGCCAAACCCTGACTCATCTATGAACTCCCAGATACTGAGGCTCTAGTCGAGGCTTGGTATTGCGCATAGTGATCTTAGGCTTGTGTGTAGCTGCTCGGCCATGGAAACACATTTCACAAAGTTCAGGATGCACAGTTCTTGTGCTGATGTTTCTTTCAGAGGCAGTTTGGAATTCTGTAACAAGTTATGCAACAAGCGATTTTTGTGTGCTAGGTATTTCAGCACTCTTTTGCCGCTCTGTGAGTTTGTGTGGTCTGTCGCTTCATGGCTGAGTTGTTGTTGCTTCTATATCCGTCCATTTCACAATAATAGCACTTAAAGTTGACTGGGGCAGATTAAGCAGGGCAGATATTTCACTAACTGATTGTAGCAAAGATGGCATCCTGTGAAAGCACCATGTTTAAAGTCACTGAGCTCTACAGTATGACCCATTCTGCGGGCAGTGTTTGTCTAAGGAGATTGCATGGCTGTGTGATTGATTTTATACACATGTTAGCAATGGGTATGTCTAAAACACCTTAACTCCATTTGAAGGATGTTCACATACATTGGCCATATAGTGTATATAGACTGGGGAGTGAACTGTGTGCTTTAAAACTTTAACACTGTTTACATAGTACATAGCTTTTCCATGATATGGGCTCTTTAAATGATCCAATTATATACGGTAAAAATCTGTGAAAGTACAGTACCTGTTAAGTAACCAGGGCTCTCTGGTGCAGGCCAGTGCTGACCGCAGTTTGACTGCCTCAGCTGCTACTGTGGCCTTCTTAAACATCCGCCAGCCAAAGTCCCATTCCTCTACTCCTCCTGCAGCTATGGCATAGCAGTACACTGTGGACCTCAGGTTGGGATGAATCCTAATAGACATGATATCAGATACATGTATCGTTTCGTTCTTAAAATTATGATTCATTGTTTATAACATATGCAGTTAGTAAACATGCAACTGTACACTGGTGGCTAATACAGGATTGATTAACAGTCATACTAAACTTAAGAATTTATTTATTATGAAGATTCAGAAAAGATTGGAACAACATTACATTGCCAATGAGTTCCAACACCAAATTTTAAGAAGCGGTAACTTTAGCATACCCGAACAGTGAAGGCTTCCAAATTAAACTTAATGCAGTCACTGTTTAAATAAAAAAAAAAATGTTCCTGCATGATGCAAGGCATACCTGTCCAAAACTCTGGAATTATGTAATTACAGTAACGAGCATTAAAACTAGGGAGTAGTATGTTGTGTGTCATGTTATGTAGCCTCATCAGTGTGACAGAATTCATATTGTTTATGTTTTTATTTCATTTCAATTACTACTATACCCAGCATACACAAATACAACATACAGTCATGTGGTGTCAGCCAATCCTGGCTGCCAGCCTAGCTACTGATCTATAGGCTAATCAATACAACTGGCTAGCATTAGTCTAACTCAGGCTCCAGTCCTTGTGGGCTGAAACTCATCATGAACTGAATTCAGAGCGCAGGATGAGGGTAAACGCTAATCTCCACAACACTTTGGCCCGGAACATTTCCAGTTTGACATGCTTGATCTAACTCTTACCTCGGGCGTCGGTTCTATCTTTATTCAGCACAAAATGCCAGAGAGAAGTTTTTAACCTTTCAATCAGAGAAATGAAGCCAAACTGAGGTAAGGTATCTATATAGCCAGGTTTTGCTAACTTTAGCTTGTGGTCCATCTCATCTGATGAGATAGCTACCTTAATTATACAGTTGTAAAAAGATATTTCACCTCCTAACAGTCATGTTAGCTTCTTCAGTCGCCAGCTAATGAAAAAGAAAAAACATTTCAAATAGCCCACCCCCAAAAAAACATCCTAAAGCAGTTTTTCCTTCAGGACACATCATCACAAGTGGGTTTTCAACAGATTTAGTAGTCCATTAAATTACATTAATTGCATGCAAATTACAAACTGCATAATTTTGTTACGCAGTAAGTTACATTTACATGACAGTTTCCACTTCTGACTTTTTCCACAAACCATAAAAAACTGGCAAAAAAGTAAAAGATGTTTTTTCTTCCTGCAAAACAGGACTGTTTGCACAACAACAACTTTTCATCAAAATTCAAATCGTAATAAAATACCTCCTTTTCTACCTACAAACATGAATTTGCATGAATAAAAAGTTCAGAATCCATGCTTTTGACAACATTTCTCTACTTGTTTCAAAGAACTATGAGTTTTTTAATTAAAAAAAAAAATAATTTCACTATAACTTTATTATCACCACTGATAACTGCATTTTCTCAGGCTTACAGTACTTACTTGTTATCATCAGGATCCTGCATCCACTGTCTAAACCAGGCTTTGGTGAGATCACGGCATCCCTGTACACCAGTTTTGCATGCTAGTGACAGCGCAATGATTTGTGTGAATCTAACCGAGAGTAAGAAACACAACACAGACATGATTCCACACCTTTTAAGCTACCACAGCTGAGAGTGTGAGTTGGAAAAAGGTTGAAAAAGACCATAAATGTTTACTGATCGTTGTGGTCTGGAGGCACAGTGGTCCAGTTTTCAGTGATACTCGTAAAATGATCAAACAAAGGCTTAACCTGTTGTCTGAGGTAGGCCTAAGAAAGGAAACAAGCACAACTGTTGCATTTTCCTCGTTTTGATTAACTCCTGACGTGTTTTGTATGTCAAACTGATCCTTATGAGGCTCTTGAAATGAACCAACCTGCATTGCTCCATAAACGTCACTGCGATCAAACACAAGGAATAATGAGTTTAGACTTCTGAGGGCTGCTTCCCATGGAATGTACTCTCTCTCCAGGGAGAGATATTTGGTTGTGCTCAGAGCAAGAGTTATGTTAATGATGGATGCCCTGAAAAAGCGTAACACGTGTTAGCTTTCAAAGCACATACAATGAGGAAACAATGAAATACATTCATGTACAGATTTTATGACAGCTGTTTATAAATGGGGACTTCATTTGTGATTGGTATCTCACCTAGCTAGGTTAAAGGCATCATCCAGTATTTGTGCTCTATTGATCACTGGTATTATCTAGGCAGACAAGAGACAAACAAGATCTCTTGAGATATCTTCAAATATTTCACTGCTTTGATAGATTAGCATACATTTTCCAGGCTATTAAGCAGATCTTTGGCTTCATTTGAGCTGGATTAGTTTCACCGAAGAATATTCTTTAATAAAATTTGTCTGGATTTGGCTCTCTGATTGACATGACATAGGGTAACTAGTTTCTGAAAATTAGCACAGATCGCCCTGGATCAAAACCTCACAGCCCAGATGTTCACGTCAGCGTTACGGCACAGGACCCACTTAATAACAATAACAACACTTCACAGGGCCGTGTCTGTTAGCAGGTTTTGTTATAGCATGAAGTGGACTGAGTTCAGCCAATTAGAGAAGACCATCCACTCTGTTGTCAGACTGTAAAAACTACACATGCTGCAGATTCATACTTGATTACAATCATTTCAATCACTCAATTATTATCCTCAGGCTGTAAAAACTACACACACTGCAGATTCATACTGAAATAAAATCACTCCATAATTATTAATGTTAGCCTATAAAACTACACTCACTGCAGATTCATACTGGATTAAAAGTAATCTTTTAAATGATGATACATCCTCAAGTAAAACCAATCCTGCTCCAATATATATTATATAATAGCATATTAGAATGGGCAATATATAACATTGATTTTCTGTTTTTGCAAATTATGTGCTTGTATTTTTTTTTACCTGGTGGTTGGAATTCAGTTGACTGAGGAGCCGCTCCCAGTTCTCAAGGTCATAGTTGACTCTGTAGTATCCAGAAACATTTACATTGGCCAAAACCCATTCTCCTCTGCTGACTTTCATAGGTTTGTGGACAGCTTGGAGAAGCAACAAGAAATGGGACATGAAAATGCAGGGAAAAAATGCTGATGATTCATGTGACTATGTGGAGGTTTTGGTTCAGTGTCAAGCCATACATAGCAATGAAAGGCTTTGTTTGCTGAAATTCTCCCATTTTGAACTCCATGTATGTTTTGAGGTAGAAAAGTCTTTCATATACTGTATTCTGGGGCAGAATGTGACCATGCACTAAAGAGGTTGACTTAAGTGTCTGTTAAGGCTGTGAAAACTATATGCTGCAGATTCATACTGGATTAAAAGCAGGCCACCATCACTGCTGTCAGACTGTAAAACTGTATATTGAAATTGTGGATGTTGCCAGTAATGATATAAATTACAGATCATCTCAAGTTAAAACAAATCCAGCTCAAATAGGGCTTAAATGTTTAGTGTAGTGTTTGCCAAGTCTACCAAAGAGTACTGCTGTTAGACTTGAGGTAATGGAGCAGTCTGAGGTACCTGATTTCTGAAGAAGCCAGAGTTGATCTTGTTCTCCACGTTTCTTCATCCATTTGATTGGTATGAACCATTCATAACTTGAATGAAAAGGTTGAAAAACAAACAGTGATGAGAATTATGTAATTTCAGCTCACAATAGATTATCAGTTTTAGCTTCCAGGTTCCCTGCAACATTAAAGTATCTCCTAGTGACAAAAGCTAGTGCTTCAAGTAGCATCGTACTTGAATTCAGATGGTTTTTCCACCACAGAGTTTGGCTCCAGCAGGAAGTGCTTCTGGCTCACGTTTCCTGTCCGGGTGTCAATGGTGACCATTGGGAAGCCCATCTGAAGAATCCAACGATTCATGATATCGTGCACGCTGTGTGGCAGCTTCAGCTGTGGGGTTTTATCTACTGCCTGGAGAACATATATGTATTAATTTCTCATGTAGAACATTAAAGCTGAGCTTATATTTTTAATGTATAATTTTTAGCATATACCACATATACAAATTCACTTACTACTGCCCGTTGTGACTTACCTTCTGAAGATGATCCCAAAGGTCTGAATACACAGAGTTCCCAAAAGCAAACTGATTCAGGTACGTCTGTAGGAGGTAATGTAGAAGAGAATGTTTTGTTTGACCATAAACTCAAGAGGAAAATCACCATTAAACCCATATCTTATGAAAAGTATGTAATAAGGCTTACATTAAGACCCTTGGCAAAGACTGGCTCAGTCAGGAATTCAGAGAGCATCCTGAGCACTGCAGCCCCCTATAATAACAAGCACATGCAAACCGCTCATGAGCATCATCTGTCCTAAAATAAACTGTAGTGACCTTGACTGTTGCTAAATGAGGAGCAATCTCAAGGAGCTTTCAAGGTATTGGACCCTGGCTGAGCCCTCTGCTACTGTATTCAGGGCTAGATTTGAAACAGCAATACTGGTATCTTGATCAATGTAGACAAAAGCAGTCTTAGGCCCTTATATGACATTAAAGGGATAGTTTGGCCAAAAAAATCAAATGAACACAATATTTGCCCAAATGTAGACTGTTGGCTAAGACTAGTTTGTTTTTTTAATCTTACACTAAAGCTACAAGTCTAATGTAGCAAACAAGCAATAGAATAGAATTAGCATTGCGCAAACTGCATGCCTAAATCATCCCACACGCTCCAAGTTGTTAAGTAATTTTAAATAGACTTGCTTAAGTGGTTTCTGACACTAAATAAGGCACTCTTATCTATAACAAATGAACAAAAGTACATCACATAGATAAAAACAGTACTAGCAGCCAAGGCCTAAATTCTGTCTGTACTTGTCTATTTTTATGATAACGGAGGCATGCTGTTTGCACAATGCTAATTGGTAAGCTTCCATTACTTGTTAGCTGCATCTGCCTCATAGCACCAGTGCAAAACTAAAACATTACTTTCATAAGAGAACAGTTGCAGTGAACCACTGCTGTACCTTGCTGTAAGATATGGTGTTGAACATTTGACTGATTTCCGCTGGCTTGTTGACCTCCTCCTCTTTGCAAGATAGTGGATGAGAGGAGACAAGGCTATCTACAGCAAACGCACGATAAATATCATACAGTATGATCTGGTCTTTCTGCGGAAATACAAAAAAGTTCTGTCATTTGCAGAAAAAAAGCCCATCAGTAGTGAAAAGTAGATTTGAGACAAGCAGAGAAAATCTGTTGAAAGTCTGTATTGTAAACTTACATATTTGTTTGTAAGTGTACACTACAAAAGGGGTTCTTTTGGGAAAGCAATGGTTTTATTTAGAACCACGAGTTCTATGTAGAACCATTTGCATACTTAAATAGTTTTTTTGCATGATGAAATGTGTTGTACATGGTTCTATATAGAACCTTTTTTAAAATGGTTCTATATAGCACCAAAAAGAGTGTTTCTATTGTTACAAGCTTAATATCGTAAGAAGAACCCTTTTTGGCGCTATATAGAACCATTTCAAAAAAGGTTCTGTATAGAACCGTGTACAACTCATTCTCCATCAAACCATGCAAACAACCATTTACAATTGTTCAATATAGAACCTCTCCCTCTAATAAAGAACTCTTGAAGAACCATCTTTTTTGGAGTGTACCCTGTACCAACAGTTGTTTGCCATTTTATCTGGTAGCTAGCCTAAACACTGGGCTGTAACATGGAATAAACTTTTCATCAGGAGCTTTTTAAGGCCTCAGCATACGTCTTGCAGAGATGGCATTCGCCAGGCTTCAGTGAACAGTATGACGTAATTGCAGAGAAAACAAACAACTGCAGATGTTGCGCAGAGGCTTTGTTCGCCGTGTTGCACAAATGGTGGCTGGGTGAACTTAATGGACGAAGACACTATGTGACAAAGCTTGTGACTGGTTGGTACAAAAGAGGCATGCCATTAAACAAAGATGGACGACTTTGAGGAGAAAAAAGTATGCTGAGTGCTTTGGCAGAAACACCAATATTTCACTGTGAAACGCGCATTTATTAAATAATCAATGAATACTTATGAAATGTAAGATGTTAAGTCTGTTATTCGGTAGTACTAACTAGTAGAAAGCACTAAAACATGTAGGTTATCTTAAATTTAGGTTTATAAGAGGACAAAGCTGAAGTTGGCTTCCTGTTTGAATTTTTTCCATTCCACCTTAAATAGTGGCAGCATTCTGGATTCATACATCGCCATTGTTAGAACTGTGATAGAATGGTTTTCCAGCAGTCATGGAACTTATAAAATGGCATCATGTCACCTGCATTAGTGGAGCATTCGCAACAGGCAAAACAAAACTGCAAAAAGCATGAATGCTTGTTGAAAGCGCGTTCACGCAACTCTCGAGAAATTTGTTTCGCAAGAAGTTTACTGAGGTCTTTACACCACTACATGTGAGAAGTTGAACATGCAAGAGGCGTGTCATTAATGGAAAGAGAAATGGCAATCTCCCATTAGACGTTCTTACGATGTTCCAAGTTGGTTCTGCATGGTCTGCACCCAGGTACTCCACGTATGAGGCGAATCCTTCGTTCAACCAGAGATCATTCCACCACTTCAGAGTCACCAGGTTTCCAAACCACTGAAGGCCATAAACCACATCAAACGCACATCAAGCAAAAGTTATAATAATGATTAAAAACCCTTATTTAAAGGACTGTTACATACCATATGAGCAAGCTCATGAGAAACCACGGTCACAATTCTCTGTTTATTGCCATTTGCAGAGGTTTGGGGGTCGTATAGCAAAGCTGTCTCCCTGTATGTCACGAGACCCCAGTTTTCCATGGCTCCAGCATTGAAGTCAGGCAGTGCAATCTGGTCTACAAAAGAAGGTACAGAAAGGTTTGCTTCATTAAAGTACCGGCATCACTTCAAAAACTGAAATGAGAAAAAAAAATCTTGTGTTTTGTCTGAGGGTTTAACGTGCCTGACTTGGAGAGTGGATAGGCAGTGTTGTAATACTTTTCAAAGAACTCCAGGATCGGCTGGGTGATGCTGAGGGCATAGTCACCTTGCCCTCCTTTAATGGCTTTTTGTCGTGCCCATATACGAACCTTCCAGAAAAAAAAATCATTTAAGGGACAGTTAAGCCCAAAAATCACATACATACAATTTTCCAGTCACCCCAAAAGTAGTCAGTCAGGTGTTTTAGTTGTGCACCAAAGCAACAAGGCTAATATAGCTACAGGAATTTCACTGATTTAAAACATTAAGATGTAAACAAAGTCTGTGGAGTGAATGTGAAATGCACTGTTTTAGAGAAACCTAGAATTGCTCACAGTGGTGGTGATAAGAAAAGGTGACAAATACATTTCCTGATGCCTGAGGCATTGTTTTACAAACTATTGTACCATTATCAGCATTACATATTAGAACTCAGAAGACATGTGTAGGTTCACTGTTTATTCTGAATAGGAAATAAAATTGCTATATTTGTGTTGTGGACACTGTGAACCCTGGTTCCTATCACCACCATTGTAGAAAAAAAGTCTATGTTTCTCAACAATGAACCATTTTCCATTCAACCATTCTATACATGACTGTTGAAATTCGCCTTTTATGGACGTTTACGCCACACCAATTAGCATCTTACAAACTGCATACTTAAACCATCACACATTTGCCTTAAACCAAGTTGTTATTTCAAATAGACTTGCTTATATGGTTTCTATCACTCTATATTATACCATCATCTGTTTTTATAGACTTTTCTTGTGTCATGTGTAAATTATTAGAGATCGCAGTCATACAGTGTCGGAAACCACAAAAGCAAGTCTGTAAGAGACTACTTAACAACCTGAGGGTGGCATAATTTAACATGTAGTCAGCACAATGCTAATTATTTTAGTGTAAATTTCCCTATAGTCCCTATTGGTAAGGCTGTCCACTTGGCCACCATCTTGACAATGCAACTGGGCGGTTATTTCCAGTCATACAAGGTAAGACTGCTTTCTCTTTGAATAAGATCTTAAAAACTTGTCTAATATCTGGTTTCTGTTACTTCTTAGCTACTTTAGCCTCATAGCTCCAATAAAGACTGAAGAAGCTACATCAGGCTCATAGCTAAACTAAAGGAAATGTATGTTGGCTGATTGTGTAAGATTGCTTTTTTTGGTTGAATTGTCCCTGTTATGGCTGTGTTGGATTAATTAGCACTAAATCAATCCCCCACTGACCTTGTATGCTTGCACCATTCATATATTAACAATAAAAAAATACCATGAGATCCTTGTTGTCTTTTTGTTTGGTGATGTAAGTGAAGTCACAGACAATGAATGCAACAAGATACGTAGACATCTTCTTTGTGGGTTCAAATCTAGTCCTAATAACCTTGATTCCATCAATTTGAAGGTTTTCTGTACCTGAAGGGACAAAATTTAGATATATAGAAACCCAGGCTTTATCAGTGACCAAATGTAAGCCGCTTATGTAGGTCGTAGTTGATGTAATAACAACATTTCTCTCACCTATCTCTCTACTGTTAGAGAGGGCAATAGTTCCTGGCTCATGAATGAGAGTGATGTGAAATATGGCCTTCATAGCTGGTTCGTCAAAGCATGGAAATGCTTTTCTGGCATAAGTGGCTTGCATTTGAGTGATGGCAACAACCCTGAAAAAAAACACAGATCAAATGTGAGCGTGTTGTGGAATGAGCCACCCAACTTCGGTCCTGGAGAGCTGCAGTCCACCAATTTGGTGATTAACACACCTGTGATACACTGAGACTCATTTATCAATGGTAGGACATAGAGCTTAAACTGTGCCTGATATTTTGATCTGAACCTGAATATATCCCTATAGCTTTGTGCCTAACCAGATTTGGTCATGGGACATGGGAATGTTTTTTAAGTTGGGAGAGCTGAAGATTTAAAGGTGCCGCGTGTGAGATTTAGGGGTATCTATTAGCAGAAATGGAATATAGTGTACAAAACCATGCTTTCATTAATGTATAATCACTTGTAACCCTGAATCTTTGTGTTTTCATTAGCTTAGAATGAGCCCTTCAGCAGGGGCCACCATGTTGCGGCATGTTTCTTCAGCAACCCAGAACAGATAAACCATACACTCTAATGGCGCCTTTTGCGTTTTTACATTGAAGCAGCAGCTTGAATTTGGTGGCACTATAGCACCGGTTGGAAGATGTAGAAAGAAGAACAATCAGTGGTTGCTGGCGGTGCTGGCTAACCATGTTGTGTTGTAAAATGAAATCGGGACAGACAACGGCGGAAAACCTGACAGCAACAGTAGGTTCTGCTACATGCTTGGAAAGGCAGGGGTGAGGGAGGGGTATTCAGTTGGTTGCAATCTGCTACCTCACCACTAGATGCCACTAAATCTTACATACTGCACCTTTAAGTAGCATGTTTGCCGTGTGGACAATGACATCATGCAAAATGATTTCCCCCTTTTTTTCCCTTTTTTTTTTGCTAATTTGCTGACTTGAATGCACACAAAGCAGGAGATATAATGGGTGATAAAATGCCATTATTACTTTAGATGATTCTTTTTAAGTTTAAAAAACAATATTAGGCTGCTTTGGAGTTTCTCTCTTTGCACCTAACCTGCGCGTGTTTTAGCAACACCGCACCAAAGCGGCCAACAGTTGTTGGCTCACAGTATTAAAAATACAGCATTTACTTATGCAATGCACAACTACTACAAATTTTGAAAATATATATATAAAAAAAAAAAAAACTACAAAATTTAGACTTTACTCCAAAACAAGCACACATGGGCCTTCATGCTCAAATTGTCAGAAAGTTCAGAATATTCATCATTATTATTTTTTAAAGTTGCAATCCCGCACTTCCTGCGTCAAATATAGAATCTGAACTCGACTGTAGCCTGATAGGGGCTGAACAGGAAAATCACCAAACTGTGGCCCTCCAGGACTGAAGTTGGATACTCCTGTTGTTGAACAACCAAAAGTAAGAGATGTTAAATACATTTCTGATTTAGTCTCTCAATAGGCTCAGAGCACGTATTGGGCTTGGTTCTTGTTCAAATTTCATAACAATGTTTGTGTTTCTCATAGTTTCTCTTCTCTCCCACTTTCAACAGATTTTGGCCTGAGTTTACCCCTGATTTAGTTTGACTCCCTAGATTTATCACTCCCTAATTTTATTATCTCACAGGGTCATATTTTACTAGTAATTTATTTTTCATTACATCTATTTATGATGTGCTTTTGTGCCAAAAACTGTCATAATTAATTTTTACTTGGCCATTTTCCAACCTCTCTTTAACACTTACAGTTAAACAGAATGTTTTTGCTATGAATTCAAATGATTTGCACATATGGGCTGCATGGACTGCAGAGAGAACAGTATATCGAACTCTTTTGCTCTTCAAAATTGAGCAATGTTTGGTTTTCCATGATTTGGGCACACTGGTCACTTGTCAGAACTTGGTACAGAGGAGCCACCATGTATGTTAAAATGGATGCAAGAATAATATGACCACAAGATAAGTTAGCAGGCATCATCATTAGAAACATCCTGTTTGCGATAGTCAGGTTGATACAGCATTTTGTTGGGTTATGAGTATAGAATCTTAACTCAAATGTAACCCAACAAAATACTGTGTCTTACTATAGGTAAATAAGTCCCAGCAATACAGTGCACCCCGCATAAGGAGCTCCAGAAGACTGATGATTCTGTTTAAATAAAATGACTAACCTGGAAGAAAACCAAAAGATGAAAAGGAGATATTAAGTATACTCCTGTGAACTTTCACTTTTGCTAATGTCATCATTTTTGTGAAATACTTTCCAAATACTTCTTACTTTTTTACGCCATCCTCTGTATATTCGCTTCTGTAGAATCCCTCCAGGTCATCCGCCAGCTCTCCTTTGAACTCTGTATAAAGACGGTAGGCTCTTCCTGGCTTTAGCCTCCCTTTCAGCTGAACCACCAAGTATTGTGTTTCCACTTGGAACCAAGTTTTCTTTATGGCTGGCGCTGCTGCGCCATGCAGGTCTTTTAGCTTTGCATGGCGTCCATCGAAAAGAGTCAAGTTGAGCTTGTGGCAGTGAATTATGATTAAATCCGTCTCTTTCTCACATGTGAAAACTACTTCAGAACTGCCTGTGAAAATATACATGCCCTGGGCGTCCTCAGTTAGCCTAGGCCACAGAGTTATATTGTAAGATTGTGGCTTTAAGGTGTCAGGAAGTCTGTATTTGTCCCAAGGTTCATTTGATGGTGGTGCAGTGGGTGTCACATGCGATGCCTTCTCATCATTAAGTGGAAGTGCCCTTTTGGCCTTTTCTTTGGAGTAAACTATAGATAATGCTATAATGGTGACTGCAGCTACAGCAGCTAGCAACGCTGCTGCTATGGCTTGGTTCTTGCTGATGTAAAAGCCTTTTCCCATGACTGGACGAAGCTGAGAAGTGTGGGACAGTTTCAGGCAAGACTCTCTCTTCCTCTATACGCTAACAAGGAGATTCTAACATGACATGGCTGGAGAGAAAGAAGTTAAACAAAATTAGCATTCCAACTCTTTGCCAACAGTTTTTGCAAGACAAATCGCATGCATTTTGGACACAGATAAAGCTGTTGTAACTCCAAGCCTAAACGTCATCAACCCTCAGAGCAAAAGAATTTCCATAAACCACCTACTGACAAGAAATAGAAGATGTATGCACTTTTGAGGAGCAGTGAGTCATTCAGAGCTTTACAAGCAGGGTTGGGCTGTAATGGAATATAAGTATTGGGAATATGTAGTAAGAATGTGAAAATTAGGAATCTGTTTTCAGTCCAAGTTACATTTTGTAAAGGCAGCATTCAGCATACAGTTTCCTTTTATATTTTTAGGAGAATAATTTTAGAATGCGTACCCACTATATTTGTGTTCATATATATATACGGCTTCTCTGCAAACACTGAAGTTCATTCTAAAGCCTGATAAATCACTGTGATGATCGAGTTATTAAGCTGAGCATTGATGACTGAACTGACTAGTGAGCATGTTTTGTCTTGTTTTTGTGTTCTGTGACATACCTCAACTGAAAATCACATAGCTACTCATTTTATAATCAAATTTGCAAGATTTTGTTATTGGCATGTGGCAAGTTCTTGGCTTAGGTAAAGGGTTGGCAACATGCGGCTCTTTTACTGTCCTGTTGTGGCTCCACAGCAGAATTAGATTTTTAGGTAAAATTAAAATAATCCTACTTTGCAGTAGAATAAAGCTCTGCTGATCATTTAACACAGTTTTAACAATACACGGTCTTAAACACTGGAGTTAATATATAACTGCTAATTCACCCTTTAACCCTGAAACAAGAAGCTGGCGAATGAGAAGCTGACTTCAGTCTCGTAAAAAGTTGAATGTTGAGAGACGTTTTACAAGAAACTATTCTACTTTTGAGGAAAAGTTTCCTGCCAGAGATGTGAGAAAAGTAGCTGTAGCTGAACTAAAGCTTAAAGCACAGCAACGTAAGTCTTTCATTTTTATTTTAGTCTATACTAGGACATTAGCTAGCACATATTAAGACATATTTTTAGCCAAGATGGTAAAACCAATAAAATGGACGTACAATGTTGTGGCTCCCAAGGTGGGTTGATTTTTATTGAAAGGACAAAATTGCTCTTCTTAACATTTGAGTTGCCGACCCCTGGCTTAGGTCATGAAAGAGCAGTGGGGATTAATGTTCATATAACTTTTTATTAGAGGAACAGCATGAAATAAATAAAAATTACAGCAGAGTTTTTCCCATGTACTTTATCAATATGTATTCTGACATCAATACTTCTAAATCTGTACTTTTTATGTATTGTAATGGAATACATTTAAGACAGTGTACTCATTATTCAGCCGTCACTACTTTCTCAAAGTATTTTGCCCAACCCTGTTTGTAAGTCTATTCAGTGTTTCAGAGAGTTGGGTGGAATTTATCGAACTGATAATGATATGAATACTGATAGTATTTATGAAGAAGGTAATAAATTTAATGGCCCACAATCACTTCCTGTGATATAACTCTTTATTGTCTGAAATGAACTCAACTTTTACTAGCTGTGACACTCTACATTAGATGCTTTGTCATAGTGTTGGCTTCAATGAACATTAGCTTCAGTGAATCAACATTAGAGAATGAAATGTTACATTAATACCACAGTTATGCCAACATGCCTCAGCCCACTGTGGTTCCACCTTAATTGAACACTGAAAGTCATGTTATTTTGTGTTATACCACTATGCTGACAACGTTTCAACATAACATTTAATGGTTTGGGAAAATTACTGCCTTCCTGCCGTTATGTCAGCGTCACCTCACTCAGTGGTCCACCTACACTCACCATCAACCTTTTACTTACACTCATTCAGCACTTCACCTTGCCTTATATATTTTACAGTTTGTTTATTTATATATATTTACAGTTAGTCTACCTCTATCCCATTCTTCATTGGTCAGTTTCTCTTGACCAGGTATTATTTCAGTGGTGATTCATTCTCAGCACAGCAGTGACCCCTACATGATAGCGTGTGTAGCACTGGTGTGATTGTAACGAACACAGCAGTGTTACACATCACTACTCTACACTCTCAAAAATAAAGGTTTCTAAATCATTCTAGACTTAGGTCTGTGGTTCTAAGTACACTTCATTGCCTTAGAACCATTATGACTATATAGAAAAGAGGCTTTTAGCAAGATAGCAGGGTAAAAATTAGATAAAAAGTCTGTATTCATTTTGGTAAGTTAGGTTTCATAAACTATTAGCACTTATAAAATATATAATGATGTATTGTGCTAGGACTGTGTAGACGTTTGTCTCAGAAAAGTTAGTTAACCAGCCAACTTATAAATGAGCTAACACGAAGGTTTTTGCCACTAGCTAAAGCTACAGTTTTTACCATTAGCTAAAGCTAGATGTTTTATTATTAACCAAAGCTAGAATTTTTATGATTAGCAAAAGCTAGAATTTTACTATTAGCTGGCTAAATAGCTAGCTAGTTATTGTTATGCATATGGTAGCTAGCTACCACTGGATTTTCGTCTTTGCTTTGACCTTATGAAGAATAGATTGTAGGAATTTGGTCATTGTTCAGCCTCGTTCCATCTCCTTTACATTTCGGTTATAGCTTTGATTTCATAACAAAGCTATCAACGGTTATTCTAGATCTGAAAAACCGTACCAAATTTTTGGTTTTGTAAAGGTTAGGGGCCATTTAAGCAAGAGTTCTGTGCGCAACTACATGTTTTTGTGCTCCAACCTAAAATTGATCTTTATACCAATCCATATAGCCATATATTGAAAGGTTCTTAAGAAACAAAAAGTGGTTCTTCTGTGGCATCACTCCAAAGAACCTTATTTGATTTTACTTTGCATCTTTATTTTTAAGAGTGTGCTAGATTCACTACCCAAAGATTTCCAACTAAGAAACTGACCATAGATGAAGGCCTAAAGGATGGCTACAGATAGGCTATAGAGTCTAACTTTGTCTCGTTACATTGTAGTCAAGTCTAACATAATGAGACGCTCACTTACCTACTTAAGTACAAACAAGCTCTCTATCTTATTCTTGCAAGTGATGCAAGTCCTTTGGAAGTCCTTTGGGAGTTGCTTATCGATATTAGCAATGATAAATGAAATTATCGAATTAAAATTATGATTTCTTTCAGGATCCAATTCAGTTAATTTGATTAAAAAAATTTAATTAAATTTCAATATTCAATGAAGTATAGCACGGCTGAATCTGACCACAGGCCAGGCAGGTCTAAACTGCTTCACACCACAGAAGTGTTGGGGTAGGGTGATCTGGGCAAAAGTTCATCTCACAGATGCTTTGGCCTGAAAAAAACAGTCCCTTTGATCTCGTGAGGGGGCATTGAAAACATAATCATTGTTTCAAAGCCGGCTGCAATAACATGTAATACGTTTATTGCCCTAAAGATAAGGATAGAAGACATAAAATACAGAACTAAGAAGGCTGTGATGATGGTAATGATTCTTCTTGGATTTACCTTTTCCCTGTATAGGTCAATAACAATACTGATTTGCATTGCCTAAGACTCTTAGGCAAAGGTGTGCACTCTTAAAAATAAAGGTTTCTAACTGGTTCCTGGCTTGGACATTCACTTTCATTGATGTAGAGGCATTACATGATGTCCAGGCTCTTCAAGCTTTGAAGTTAACATGAATCACAAATCAGAACACATTTTTCTTCCTTACCGTGGTATATTTCTGAGTCAAACAGGATATTTGGACAGGAAAGTATTCTGGTTGGGACATGATTATATCCCCTGGAATTTGATTGGATCGTGAAAGCATAAAATAAAGATGCAAATAAACATGGACCCAAATGCTAGTCCACAGTCAAATGTGGAAGTCTTCACTCCTGCAACACCTCCAGCATGCTATGATATAATTGGTTAGTATAATTTTTCTCTGCCTGTGGTGCACGGTGATGTATTCAAACACCAAAAGGTGTTTAAAGAAGCAAACGTTCAGAGGAGCAGGAGTCACTATGCTTTGATACATTTGAAACATTACAAAAATTATCCCCGATCTCCAGTAATGTCACAGCCATACATGGCTGGGAATCCAAGAGAACAAAATCGTCTTCTCTTTATGGCTGCCCTCCCTCTCCAGCATCACCCAGCGTGATGCTAACCAACAAGGCTGTCAGTTAGCTGATGTTAGCAGAATTAACGTTCTCCTCCAAGTGTGTTGGTGTTGTGTTTGTGGCAGTTTGAAAAGATACAGGGGCTGGCTTTACATGTCTCAGAGAAAGCTCATGCTAGTGTTTACCCTCCCAACTTGGTAGCATGTTGTGATAGACCTAGCTAGTGAGTGAGAACTGAACATGACTAAATTAGGAAGAAAAACTGGGGAAAAATGAAAAAAAAATGTATAATATGATGAACCATGCCTAATATGAACATGAACTATGCCTAATATGAACATGAACAAGTTTCAAAAAGTCGATTTTGATTTCAGGATGACTTTAAAGAGGTTCTGTACACTCACGTCTTACACACATACCTTACAAATTGTTTTCTTTATGAGATCTTCAAAGAACCCTTTTTTGGCACCTTATTTTAAGAGTGTAGGTGGTTTATGTATGTGAAAACTGACTTTCCTCTAACTACAGTATTCTGCCGAAGTCACTTATTTGATTTCCAGTCAAAGCGGCCATTACGTACAAGTTATTAATTTTAGATATGCACGAGGAGATTATAGATTAGATATTCCACTTGCATAAGGAAAACAAGTCTTTAAAACTAAATTCAAAAACAATCACAAAAAATCTGTGCAAGACCTGGTGGATGGCCAAAACTGCCCCATCACATAAAGCTTTCATCTTTGAGAAAGAGGACAATTATCAAGCTTCACTCTTGCTTCAGATCTGAAAAAATCCACAAGTCTTTCTGTCCATCATTCCACTGTAAAAAGACAACTCAGCGCTATGTGTCTGAAAGGATGTGTAGCTCAAGAAGCCTCACTGAGAAAAGGAGACAGACACTTTGGAGGTGTGGAAAAATATTCCTGCACATTTCTTTGAAAAACTGAACGCAAGTCTCTTGAAAAGAAGCTATAATAAAGGCAATGAGTGAACACACTATTTACTGAAATTATATTATATTTAGTTGTCAAGGCTTAATAATTTTCTGTTAAGTATGTTTTCTGCCATTACTTGCCTTTTACTTAATGACTGTTTTGACTGGAGTAAGTTAAGTAAATGAAAGGTGGTCTCTGGCTTTTGCGTAGTATTTTATGTCCACCTGGAAGTCATGTAAGGCAGATGAAGGATAATAAACACACATCTTAGGGGCTTTCAGCAGCTTTCCATAGCGAACACCAACATTCAGTCCTGAGCCGAGAAGCTAACCTCCCACCCGTTCACCATTTGCTGGGTTGATTTGCAGCAGAAAAGTGGAAACATACATGCATGTGCAGGAAACCACTGCTTTGTCAGTCCCAGCAACGTGCAAGAGGTAAAGACAGCTAAAGTGGAGCAGAGAAAGTAGAGCAGTACATACCAGGTGTCCATGAAGAATAAGCCCCCGCAAAACAGAGATGTGCAGACTGAGTTGAGGTGATAAGAGTAAGAAAAATACTCTCCTTCTCTCCTTTTTTCTGTCTCTCTCTCTCTCTCTCTCTCCCTCTGTTCACATCTGGGAGAAAGGGGGGAGGTGGTCGCAGCTTATTCAGGTCTTTACACACGCACACTCGCGCACATGGGCAGGCAGTTAGAGGAATGCGCCTTCTGAAACAGAGCTTTAGCCCTTCAGACTACGCATAAACATGAAGTCAACACGCTTGCTAGCACAAAAACCAAAAACAGAAGGCATGTTGTGCAGCCAGACTGATGTTAAACACGCTGTACGTCACAACCTCAGTCATCTGAGGTTTCTTCAGCGTCCCCTGTTTGCCTCGGGCCTGAGCAAACGCATTATGTTACAGTGAGCTCAATCCACATATCTCATGCAATAATATCTGTCAAAAACAACATTTGCAAAGTATGAACCTATTGACCACATTTGCTGAAGGTGGCCACAAAAAGACCACACGAAGACCAGAGAGTCAATAACTGTTATTTAGAAGCCACACAGGTTTAAGGAACCTGTCTAATCCAGCTTCTAGCCTGAGAATCAAGCCAAAAGACCAGTTAGCCCTAGGCCTGAGATGCTAACTTTAGCACCTTCACTTTTAACTAGCCATTTGCCAGATGCTAACTTACAAGCTTCCATTACTTGTTAGCTACATTAGCCGCAGAGCTCCACTGCTAAGAAGCAACTCTGGCCTCCTAACATGTCCTGGGCATTTGACCACGTTTGGTGTAAGAGAAAATTTTGAATAGAAAATTAAAGAATGAACATTTGGAGAGATGTTTCACACAATATTAGCAACTGTTGACACAACCTGGTACACCCTGAAACTAGTAAGCAGGTCAAAAGATGCTCCTTAAAGTGGAAATTCAAAAGAAAGGAAGAAAAGGAAAGAGGAAAAAAAATTCACTGGCATCTGGGACAAATTATTTCATCATCAACTTTAAGCTTCAAAGTGGAAATCCAAGAAGATGTGAGTGTCAAAGATTCCGAAGGAACAGCTTTCTACCACATTTCTACCACATTTAGGACTTACAGCGTACAGTCAAAGAATATATTTGTATATTTGTGTTGTATATAGGCTGTAAATATATGATCTGAATCTAGAGATGATGATAAATCATTTCAGCTTATTTCAGAATTCCAGTAAATGGAACATGGAACAAAATCTACATGCTTTGTGAGGCTTGAAGCAAAGCCACATGGGTAGTGTCTTACAGGCATCTGCCTCCAGAATGCTGCTTATTCATTTCCTGTAGATTTAAATCTTAAGTTTTGCAAGATTTACATTAAGTGATTAGCAAGACATCCTCTCAAAGAGGAATTTTGCTTGTATGCATTTGCAGTTGCAGGACTTGTATCTCTTTTGATTGGCTCCGTCCTTCTGTCAGCAGAATGCAAAAAACATTTGAGTAAATTACTGCAGTGCCCTGGGCCTGAGCTCCCACAGCCGTGCCAAAGAAAGCACAAAGAGAAAATCTTGGTGGAAAAACTTATCAAAACAAAAATGATTTATATATTTATTTATTAATCAGATGCAGAGCATGGTTTGATTTAAGCATGACAGTGTTATCTAATGAAGAACAGTCAACAAAGTGGCTAGAGTAGGTGCTCTATACACGTGTGTAGGTTTCTGCATGAGTACTGCGTTACGGCCTAATGAAAATAGACTGGAGTTTGTTATTTTATCCAGTTGAACCAATAATGGACTTTCCAGGCAAAGGCTTCCAGGAATTTGCACGAGAAGAATTCCCACCACAAGCCATTCTGCTTCAATGGCTGAACTGTGTCAAAGAGTTCCTCCCCCATTTGAGAGTGGGTTACACCATAATGTTTTCATATCTCAGCCACGAAGATGCAAGTCTCATGCAATTTTCCACTACTATGGGAATTTGCCAGGTCAGAAGTGGATTGTGGATATAACATTTAACATAATTTGTCTTTGCATACAATGTTTTCTAGAATTCGCCAACTAAAAAGACTTAAAGGTCCTAGCCAGGAACTGTATCCAAGCCAGGAACTTGTCATAAGCACCAGTGTAGAAGAAAACCATACAAATCTGCCCAGTGCAGTCAAACCTCAAAATGTTCCTAAAGGAATGGTTTGGCTAAGTTTTACACAGTTTTCCCCTTTACCCTAAATTTAGTTGCCAAGACATGTTTGGTGACTGAAGTTTGCTTCTTTAGTTTTACACTAGAGGCTAATGTAGCTAAAAAGCAGTTGAAGCATAGTTAGCACTTTAAAAATGTCTGAATTATGAATAATCATCATCTAAATCATCACACTGCATACATAAACTTGCTTATGTTATCTATACAACTGCACGCTACAGCACTGTGAAAAAGTCAGAGACCAAACTTCTAAACTAACGTCTAGTCAAAGTATTCATTTTTCAGCATCAGGAAAAAGGTGTAAAACATTTAACAGACAATCACCCGAAAGCTTTAATAATCAATTTTTCTGTATTTAGTGTTTCCACTCTTTGCCTTTATTACAGCTTCTGTTCTTTTCAGTTTTTCTAAGAAATCTATATTGATATTTAATGTTGAAAGACTCTTGTTTTTTCTTTTAATCATTTTTTAACTCCAGTTTTGGAAACTTTTTTTCACTTCCTTTCCTTTGAATTTCCTTATGTAGTTTCTAGTTTGCGTGATGCTAACCTAGCTGACATTACTTGTTAGCTACATTAGCCTCGTAGCTCCAGTGTAAATAACCAAGGCAAACTTAAGACATCAAACATGTCTTGGCTGATCAGCCATATTTAAGGTTTAAATTGTGTAAATATCATTGACAAAACTTTCCCTTTAAGACCATTGGTTTTGACAGATTCCTATTAGCAGTTGTTTAGTGTCACCAGAAAAAGGCAGAGTCTCTTCACAGTTTTCCATCTCTTTCATAACTGGAGCATAATTCAGCTGGATGGAGACATACGTCAAACACACCCAAACATGAGTCATATTCTAATTCACCTTGTCTTTCTACAGCGTGATGATGGCCAAAACAGCTGTTCGGGTTCCACTGTAAACACACGAGCTGCTAAAGCTTCCAAAAGTCTGCTCGAAGAGCATCTTGGATCACTTTTATTTACAGTATCCTGGACAGGAAACTGCAAGTTCAAGTATCACTTGCACTTTATTTGTAGGAATAAAGAACACATGTTGACTTGCCAAATGTAGTACATTATACAAATGTGCAGTTTTTCACTTCACTATTGACACAGTGTAGCACATGACTGCTAAAACCAGGCATGTGCATAGATAGAACCCAGGGAGGGCTTGAGCTCCTGCCCCTTTGCCCTCTTGGTTGGTGTGTACATTAATTGTATTTTATGGTCTCCACCACTCTTCAAGATCCATTTCAAGCTCAGACTCGACCTGGGATTAGAGTTTGTGGGTGGGCTTGGGTTCTACAAGATTCATTGCTGTTGGGTGCCCCCTATGGTGCAGCACTGACCGCCTGTTGTTCTCCTCAGTAACTTCGACTTCTCGTGCATCACCACATCACTAGAAATCCCACCAAAAAAATGCTGATAATCTCTTTACAGTACCCCCAAAGTCAGCTTTTAAACCATAAAATAATCTATGCTGAATAGCAAGTTAAATATTTTTATACATTATTGTTACATCCAGGAAACTAATAAGAATGGCATAGGAGCATTCCTGAACCTTAACACTCATTAAAAATACATGCTGATAATTATAAAATAAACCACAGAAATCTTCAAATCATCACTCATTAAATGTTAAACCATGAGCAACTATTGGTAAAGGTTGAACAGTGCTAAGGAAGGAGTAGAGTAGACTATTGCTAGCGCTAGTTTAGTCTTATTCTCACCAGACTCAACTTCACTTGCTCCAATTCAACCTTCTAAATAGTATAAAGCAACAAGATTAGTGCAGTTAATGGCCTAACACACAATAACCGATTCACTGCCTCAGATTTGAGTCGTTATCCAAAAAAATGTGTCAGTAAAGCTTCAGTAATTCAGAATTGACTTTCTAAAGTGTTGTGAAGTGAAGCTATTTCTTTGGTCTGCTTGCTAAGCTATCATTAGCCACTGATGCTAACAAGAACAATAGTTCATAAACCTGTAGCGTGCTAAGCTACTTTGACCTGCTACTAGGACAGTTCCACTTTATTAGATAGATGTGGAATATACATTTGAAATTTTAGATATCAGCATCATTTATTTATTTTAGCCAACTGATAACTACATTTCAAACATTAAGTTAGCTACATTAGCACTTCCTCTCTGTAACTGCAAATTTCCAATCTCTAAAGAACCATATCCACTGAAAAGTTCCAAAAGGGTTCTTCGTGTGACACCACTGAAGAACAACTTTTGGTTCCCTAAAGAACCTTTCAGTGGATTTTTAGAGATTGGAAGCTTGCAGCTACAGAGCAAATCTCCAGTCTCTAACAAAGCATCCACTGAAAGGTTCTTTAGGGAACCAAAAGCAGTTCATCAATGGCGTTGTATATTTTATAAGAGTTTGATGTAGTGTATAAACTTTAAGGTTTCAAAACATGCTTTTTACTCCCCAGTCCAATAAATATGTAGAAACTAAGCTCATTTTGAATTCAATGTTTTTGTTTAGCCTCCTATTCAGCTTACAGGAGTTTAGCTCCGCCCATTCACACTGAAGCTATAAGTAGTGTTTCAGCATGGACTGCTTTTTTGAATGAGACACATTACAGGGCAGCCAACCAGAACATTATATCAGTCTTAAAGGCAATGTTACTTCTAAAGGATAAAGAGAGGTTGGAAAATTGGTCATATGAAAATGAATTATGATTATTTTTTGTACATAAATCCATATAAACTTTAAAAAAAAAAGTGGACCTCAGGGGAAAAATTAAATACAAGAAAAATGTAGGATATGGGCCCTTTAATTGGTGTAGAACTTACATCATGTCGAAATTCTTTAGGTTTGAAAAAATAATGATTAAAAAAAACATCTATTAAAGGATCTTTAGGAATGCAAAAGTTTTTTCTGTGGAATTGCTCCAAAAACAGCTCACATGTTGTAGGACGGTCAAAGCGCAGCAGGCTGAAAAGTAGAAGTCTGTTGTTGTTAGCAGGTCAGGACTGTGTTGGCTGAACATGTTTCCATACCAACAGTTTACATTTTCATCCAGCTCACAATAACCACTCAACAAGTGAGCAAAATTAGCTGTGTTTACAAAATTTGTTGCTGTT